CACAGCAGCCAATTGTGCACAGCAGTGTCCTACAAGTGGTATATCAAAAGTAAAGCTTACTATTAGGGATCTTTTGTCCTCACGGTATTCTAGATAGGGAGCAGTTAATTCACCTCCCACGATACTCGTGAGCTTTCCTTTATAACAAAAGTCAGGTATTATTCCATTCATGATGCCAGGTTCTTGCTTGAAAAAGTTTGCTATTTACAACCACCTGTCAAATGCATCCAATGAAAATTCTGCCAGACCTTACACTCCAATCTCAGCCTGGGCTGACAAGCACCAGTAGGGCTGGGTTTTATGTAAGAATGGATTTGGCAAGGCTGGACTATATATGGGCTAATTTAAATTTTCTTCCCTCTTGAAAGCATTTGACTGACTAATTTTTCTTTACCTCAGGTGCAGTACACAGTACCTCATAAGCGACTATTCTTCAAGCAGTGCCCCTGGACAGTAAGCCTATTTGACTTTGAAGCTTAATCCTAGTTGAACCCAATACTATGCTCCCCCAGTATCCATCTAGTACACTTCTACCAGGAGCCCCACATAGTGATGAAGCTGAGTCCAATGGCAGCAAGCTTGGTACAGACTAACCTAAAATTGGTCTGTTTGTGAGATCTTGTTGTTCATTGCTTACAAATACACATTCCCTACTTATTATTCTATTACCTATTACTCATAAAACGTTTGAGATGTTTTGATGATGTAAGCTCTATATAGCATGAAAGGAATTATTATTATCAGTTAACTCAGCACAGATGGGGAACCAGGAACAATCTAGATCTGTAGTCAAATTACACACCAATCTGTAATGAAGCCATAAACTGGTTTTCAGTGTAATTACACATTAGTCAGAGACACAGAGACAAACTCCACACAAAGCTTAATATTTGACAATGAGGAGGGGAACAAAAAGCTAAGCACATCCATGTTTTAAAAGGATTTCAACCTAGAGTTTGCTACTGTGTTAAATTGATAGGCCTGAGATAGTTTAAATGGGTCAATTATTTTTTAAAACTTCAGTTCGTAAAATACTCTTGTCAATGTGATTGTTGGCATTTATATTTTAATGTAAACAAATGCAGCAGGTTACTGTCATCTGTAAATCAAGAATTAACAGGTTAGTACTGTACCTGCTGTGAGAAAGCAATTTGTGTGGCCTCATAAAATCTAAAGATTGATTTGAAGTCATTGACAACCTCTTGATATGTGTTGGTGGACAAGGATGATCCACGATAATCATAAACCTTGCATTTAATAGCAGAGAATACCACCAGCCTGTCTCTGTGTCAGAAGGTTATTGGCTCAAGTCTCACATTGGAAGGTTGAGCCCCGAGTTAGGCTGACACTCCAGCGCAGCACTGGGAGACTGCTGCATTTTCTGACGTGCTGAGATAAAATGTTTAAGCTGCCATGTTTGTCTACAAAATACCCATTACTACACTTCAGTGCTTTGAGACGGTGTTCCTGATGTGAAGGGCTTTATATCAAATACAAGGATTATTATGATTTGTAAATAAAATATCAATTTATTTTCTCTCCTTAACCCAGATATATCGAGGTCAAATGTCATATCTCATATGACTGGGACATTCAGCACAAGAGATTAAACCTAGAATTTTCCAGGTCGTACTAAACAATACAATGCATTTACTGACCAAACCATCAGGAGAGCTGCTGTAGTACATTTGCTCATAATGCTGTAAGTGAAACATCCTGTCCAAATAAATATTGAATTAAATTGCTGGAAACATCATGAGCTGCTCACATCATTCTCATTACCAACAGAGCATCTGGAGTTGCAGCGGAGACCAGACAATGGGTTTTAGAGATTACTATTGACTGCTATTATCCTATATCTAACAGGATAGGTTGCAATTGTGTAACAGTTGTACTGTTCGAGAGTATAAGTGTCTTGTGGTTGTGGAGTCAAGAGGACTGAAACAGGACACTACAAACACAGGGTCTGTTTGATGAAACAGGATCCCATGTCAGAGCCTGGAAATCACAGACCACTATCTCTAAGACACATTTTGTTTACAGAGTTCAAGCGCAAAGTTAACTATTGCTCACTGAATCAAAGTAATCTGAGCACACATTAAACCTGCCCCACGTTACTCCAGACTGTACAATTTCTCAAAATCCTTCTGCAATCTCAAGAACAAACAGTTAAATTTAGGAGATGCTTACTGTTGTCTCAACTGAATTTTTCTTTTCATTTAATACCCTGCCCACGACATACACACATGTACAAATATACACACTCTTCATTTTCAGTTCTAAATAATAATAATAATCCTTGCCTTATCACGTTTTCACAGAATATTCTGTAAAGTGAATTAACTGTATATTTTGTGGGCGAAACACAGCAACCAATTGCACATAGCAGTATCCGACAAAAAGTCATGGATTGAGTGACCAAATTATTATTATACTTTTTAAAGGATTATTACCTCCGGAAACGTGATCTGTCAATCAACTAACATTTCAGTTCCTACTTACTGCTTGTTAAACAGAGGAGTGTGGAGTAAGAAACTTGCTTAAAGCTTCGCCCTGCCCGGGAATTCAACTAAGGTCCTCTCGCTTGCGAGGCCAGTGCTCTAACAATACACTACAGGGCTCTACATTATGAGAGGATTCTTCTCCCAACAATCACAACCCTTAACCTTTAGGTATCCAAAACACAATGGTTGGAGTTTACTTTCAGTGTGATGCTTTTCCTCAAGCTGCTTACACAACACATGTTCAAACCAACGGAGCTGTCTAAAAAAAGTTAAGATCTCCTAGACATCTGTTTACATTATTATTACAGGCAATCACAGCTGGCCTAGAGAATATTGGGTTGCTATGAGGTGACTGCACCTCCCCTACCTCGATTTTAGCTTTTTTATTAGTCTGCCCCGAGGCAGAATGTTTGTGGGTTCCATCCCCATGCCGGACTGTGAACTTGTATAGTCATTATCGATGTGCTATCCTTCAGGTGAGATATTAAACTGAGGTCCTCTCTACCTGTTCAGATGGATGTTAAAGATCCTAAGGCACGACTCAAAACGAGAAAGGAGTTTCTTCCAGTGTCCAAGTACTCAACAAAATTGATAATTTTGTGGAGTCCTGTAGCTCAGTGGTTAGAGCACTCACTTTGCAAGCGAGAGACCGGAGTTCAATTCCAGGCAGAGGGCGAAACCTTGGGCAAGTTTCCTTACTCCACACGCCTAATAATAATTCCTCCAAAAAAGAAAACAATAATAAATTGGTCATTTTCGATCCACGACTGTCTGTGGGACATTGCTGTGCGCAATTGGCTGCCGCGTTCACCCACAAATATACAGTCAATTCACTTTACAGTATATTCTGTGAAGCGCTTTGGGACGTCGAGAAGACGTGAAAAGCGCTATATCAAATACAAGGATTATTATTATTATAATTCACTTAATGGCTATTTGCAGGACATTGCTTTGTCCAAATTATCTGCTGTGTTTGCCTATAAATTACACAACTACACTTTGCAGTATATCCCGTGAAGCACCTTGGGATGTTCTCCTGACATAAAAGGCTCTATACCAGATGAAAAGGATTATTATTTTCTTCATTGCAGAAATGGAGAAAATGACAACCCTTACACTTCAAAATCTCACTGATGAGTCATTAATGGTCAACTATCAACAGCTTTGGATGACTGTGGGCCTGCCTGGCTTTATTGGGTATCTCTCTTCAGAATCAATTTATTACCCCCAGGGCTATTCCACTACCCCAAATCCTCCATACCCCGATATCTTTGCCTCCAAGTCACTATTGATAATAATAATAATCCTGGAATTTAATATAGCACCTTATCACGTCTTCAAGACATCTCAAAGCGGTTCATAGACTATACTGTGAAATGAACTGACTATTTCGTGGACGAAACACAGCAGAAAATTGCGCACAGCTGCGTCCCAGTATTGGATTGAAATGACCAATTTTTTTTGAAGGAATTATTACCCCCGGAAAAGCGATCCGCCAAGCGATTAATAATCAGGTTCCTACTTACTGCTAGGTAAACAGAGGCATGTGGAGTAAGGAAACTTGTCCAACCTTTCGCCCTGCCCGGAATCAAGCCCAGGTCTCTCGCTTGCGAGGCGAGCGCTCTAACCACTGAGCTACAGGACTCCACAGACTAACAGACAGACTAACCAGCCTGGGATTCTTTCTACTGCGCTCTTGTTAGCCTTGCAAGCCAAAACTTTGGTGGGTGGGGAGTTCTGAGCTGAATCAGCAACAGGAAGCTGACTCGTGTTCTGAACAGTAAGTTGTGTGGTTTCAGCTGCTTAAACTCCATCAGTACTTCAGTGCACACAACGGAGTCCCCAAGCCTCTTACCAATCTGCACCAAAACTATGATAAGCGCTCTGGGTCGCTCCCCTGGGCTATATAAATACAACTTGCTGTAATCTCTGTAACTAGGTGGGCAGTGTGTGTCCCTCCAGGGAGACAGTGCACATTCTGCTTCAGACAAAGGCAAACAGTGCATAAGTTGAACTAACAGGAGTTTGGTTTTGAGGCTCTTCAACATAACCAGTCCAGCCCCCGACTGACCAAAATAAAAGACACTTCCTTGCAAGGCACTTTGGTTCACCTGGAAAGGGAACCGCCTAAGATTTTGAACGCGCAGACTTGTACCTCAAGTCAAGGAAGGACTGGAATGAAACGTTTTGAGTGAGAAAAAGTCGCCTTAACATAAAATAACTGGACGGTTGGTCGGGGGGGAACAATGATTGCAATTTCATTAACAATGACACACATACACACACACACACACACACACACATATATATATATATATAATATAATCACTTTTTTTTAAAAAAAAGGAAAGGCAAGTGGTGACAGTGCAGGGGTTATGGCATTTAAACTCTGTGCATTTTCTGGTTAACATGGGAAAGACGGGCAGAGTGAGGTGCAGAGTGAGGTGCAGAGTGAGTGTGTGTGTGTGTGTGTGTGCAGATCCCACGTTCACTTACAATCTCTGCGACCATCAGCAGCCCCGGGGGGGTCCTGAGGAAAGCCTTGTCGTAGCCCATCACAGCGGAGCTGAAGGACACCGCGTACGTGCTGCTGGTGGTGCTGATAGTCCGAGGACGTTCTTCCATCTTCACGCCTGAGATCACCAGAAAAAAACACACCCACACACACACACCACACACACCACACACAGCGCCGCTCAGTCCCCAAACTTGTCCGATCTCTGGATGAGAGAGCAGCCGCGTCCGGAGCTGCTCAGCTCGACCTGTCCATCGCTGTGTGAGAGCTGCCCCGGGTTCACTGAGCTCAGGTGTGCTCCCCCTCAGGTGGCTCTGGGCTGTGAGGCTGGAACAGGTAATGTGGGCAATGCTCCCTCTGTGCCCAGTCAGTGTCAGCACTCACTCACTCACTCACACTCACTCACACTCACACTCACTCACCCTCCAGGCACACAGCACAGGGACAAATGCTCACTCTGCAGGACTTAAAGAGACAGTACACAGAAGCTGTTCAAATGTGTCCCTGTGCTTTTACCATGAGCTCGATTGCCATCACCCCAGGAGCCAGCAGGGATCTGTGCCCAGTGCATGGTATATTGCACTGCAGTTATCCACCTTATCATGTGGTTCGCACGTCTCAAAGCACTTCACGGGTTATAAAGTTATCCAGGTCGAGCCTGTCCCGACACACCGCAGGGAAAACTTTATCGGTCGTGATTATGCGCTATGTCAAATGCAAGGATTGTTATATATTTGAGCGACGACTGATTAGGTTTTGCGTAGTCTGTGGGGACAGGCTTGAAGCCGAGAACTGCGATGTAACACTCAGACAAGATCAGCGTGTTTACATAACAACAACAACTTGGATTTATGCAGCGCCCTCCACGCCGGACGGCGTCTCAAAGCACCAGTAACGGATCCCGGGGCCGAGTCAGGGGGAGGGGGAGGAAGGTGACCAAAGGCGCGGTCGAAAAGAAAGGTCTTCAGCAGGGACCTGAAAATAGGAAGGGAGGGAGCGAGACGAAGGGAGTGAGGAAGGCAGTTCCAGAGCCTCGGGGCATAGTGGCTGAAGGCATGGCCGCCGAGGGTGGAGCGGAGGACTCGGGGGATGAGAAGGAGGCCAGACCCGGAGGAACGAAGGCAACGGGTATTGTGCTGAGGAGAGAGGAGGTCAGAGAGGTAGGGGGGATGCAGAGGAGTGCAGGGACTTGAATACAAGGGTGAGGATCTTGAAATCGATCCTCTCTGGGATAGACAGCCAGTGCAGTCTGGCAAGGACTGGGGTGATCGGGGAGCAGAGTTTCGTGCGGGTGAGAATGCGGGCGGCAGAGTTCTGAATAAGTTGGATTTTATGGATGGAAGTGGATGGGAGACCGGCGAGGAGGGCGTTAGAGTAGTCCAGCCGAGAGGTGACAAAGGCATGGACCAGGGTTTCAGTGGTTTTTGGGGAGAGGTATTTGCGGAGACGGGCAATGCGTCGGAGGTGGAAGAAGACGGTGCTGGTGAGGGACCGGATGTGAGGGAGGAAGGATAATTGGGGGTCGAACCTGACGCCTAGGTTGCGTACTGGTTCGGAGAGTTTCCAGGGGAGGTTGGGTAGGTGGAGGAGGTGAGAACCGTGAGAATTTAGACGTTGACGAGAGCCGAAGAGTATGGCTTCCGTCTTGTCAACATTCAGCTGAAGGAAGTTTGCGGTCATCCAGCCACTGAGGTCTGACAGGCAGACTGACAGAACATCAGGGGACTGGGTCGCAAAGAGAGGTGGAAAAGTAGAGTTGGGTGTCATCTGCATATATGTGGAAATGTACCCCATGTCTGCGGATGACGTCCCCAGGAGGGAGCATGTAGATCAGGAAGAGGAGGGGGCCAAGGATGGATCCTTGGGGAACCCCGCAGGTAACCAGGTGAGAGCGGGAGGAGAAGCCTTTTATGCAGATGTACTGCTGGCAGTTTGTGAGGTAGGACTCGAACCAGGTGAGTGCAGTCCCACTGAGGTGGATGACGGAGGAAAGGCGGTGGAGGAGGATGGAGTGATTGACTGTGTCGAACGCAGCGGAGAGGTCCAGGACAAGGAGGCAGAGGGAGCCCTGGTCACAGATAGAGAGGATGTCATTTGTGACTTTCACAAGCGCAGTCTCTGTACGGTGGGCAGATGGAAACCAGACTGGAGGGGTTCGAAGTGGAAGGAGAGGTGTGCGCAAAGTTGGTTTGCAACAAGGCGTTCTAAAACTTTTGAGAGGAAGGGCAGGTTAGAAATAGGGCGGTAGTGGCTGGGATTTCAGGGATCTAGGGAGGATTTTTTCAGGGGGGTGGGGGTGATGACAGCAGTACAACAACAACAACAAGATTACATTTGTATAGCGCCTTTCACGTTGGGAGGACGTCCCAAGGCGCTGGACAGAGTACAGCATTTCAGATCCGAGCTGGGTTGGGGGAGTAAGGGAGGGGAGGGGAAGGGGGTGGCCGATGCCATGGTCGAAGAGGAGGGTCTTGAGGCGGGACTTGAAGGAGGCTAAGGAGGGGGCGAGGCAGAGGGACTGGGGGATGGAATTCCAGAGATTGGGGGCAGAGTGGCTGAAGGCTCTCCCGCCAATGGTGGGGCGGGTGGGTCGGGGGACGTGGAGCAGGCCAGAGCCGGCTGAGCGGAGGGAACGGGCGGGTTGGTAGGGGGTTAGGATGTCGCAGAGGTAGGGTGGGGCGAGGCCATGGAGGGCTTTGGATGTGAGGACCAGGATCTTGAACTGGATCCTCTGAAGGATAGAGAGCCTGTGGAGTTGAGCGAGAGTGGGGTCACAGAGTTTGGTGCGGGAGAGGACACGGCCTGCAGAGTTCTGGATTATCTGCAGTCTGTGGAGGGAGGAGTTGGGAAGGCTGACAAGCAGGGCATTTGCATAGTCGAGCCTGAAGGTGATGAAGGCATGAACAAGAGTTTCAACGGCCTGAGGGGTGAGGTAGTGGCGGATGTTACGAGGTGAGGGAAGGCAGAGCGTGTCATGGCTTGAAAGTGGGGGAGAAAAGACAGTTGAGGGTCGAACAAGACACCGAGGTTCCTGACTGGCTGGTGAGTTGTAGTGTGCAACCGTGGAGGTTGTTGCCAGAGCCTGAGGTGCTGAGGCGCTGGCGCGAGCCAATCAGGAGGGCCTCAGTCTTGTTCACATTAAACTGTAGGAAATTGGCCCTCATCCAGGACTTGATGTCCGACAGACAGTCTGTCAGGAAAGCAGTGGTCCTGGAGTTGATGGTGAAGGCAGAAAGATAGAGTTGGGTGTCATCCGCATACATGTGGAAGTTGACCCCATGTCTGCAGATGATGTCACCAAGGGGGAGCATGTAGATATTAAAGAGGAGAGGGCCAAGGACAGAGCCCTGGGGGACGGCAGATGTGACAGTGCGGAGGCTGGAGGAGAAACCGTTAGAGGCAACAAAGTGGAGACGGTGAGAGAGATAGGAATTGAACCAGGCAAGGGCAGGTCCGTGAAGATTGAGTAAAGCGGAGAGGCAGTGTATGAGGATGGAGTGGTCCAGTGTCAAAGGCGACAGAGAGATCAAGGAGGACAAGGAGGCAGAGGGAGCCCTGATCACAGATGTTCAGAATATCATTAGTAAGTTTGACCCGGGCTGTTTCCGTGCTGTGGGCAGCATGGAAGCCGGATTGGAGGCATTCAAAGAGGGAATGGTGAGAGAGAAAAGAGCGGAGCTGGGACGTGACAACTCGTTCTAGGACATTGGAGAGGAATGAGAGGTTAGAGATGGGGCGGTAGCTGGAGAGGAGGGATGGATCCAGGGAAGGTTTTCTCAGGACATACACTGAACATCACCAACAATTGAATGATTTTTTTTTAAAGAATATTTTGAAATAGGTTTCTATTTCTCTTACACTTCAAGTCACCCCTTTGACGATCAATTAGACTTTTTCACGAATACTTCATTTAGCTAGAAAGGGGATCACATGAGAACCAGCCTCATTGTGCATTAATATTGTAAGGATCCTTGTGTTTACTGTAGTTATGGCAAATATTAATAGCTGTTTTGGTGGAAGCTGCCTTGTGATTTACTCGTACATTGCTCTAGATTGTTGTAATTTTGACTACAGAATGTTGGAGAATTGTCCTATGGAAAATTAGAGTAAACTTGAGTTATTTATAGCCCTAAGAATGGCTTTTAAAGTGACACTCTAAATGTGATATCTAGATCCAATTGATTACATGGTATAACATTTTTCCATGTTCCCTATTAAAGGGGAAGAGTGCAAAGAGATCATTGGCACAGACCAAAGTCACGGGTTCAAATCCTGCTCTGTGCTGAGTTAGCTGATCTCAATTGGGGCAGTAAGCTGGGGTTCTACAATTGGCATCAGAAAATTGCCAGGGTTTCTGCTTTGATCGCTATTCAGAGTTCCTGTTGGACATGGAATGCAGACAGGATTTGTCTCAATGTGTGAGGGGCGACAGTCAAATAGTCCACAACACTCACTGTCACTCATGTGAAAAATGAATAAAGGACAGTCGGCAAAATATCACTGGATAGACCATCATGATGTCACCTCGAATTCTACCTTAAAAGCTTCTAACCAGCAGTTTACAACAAAAAAGTTAATAGGCAATGAGAAACATTGGCTAGCTATCTCCCTTTGTAAGTGATCAAGAAGCAGTGACTGATAAATGACCAAACATCTCCTTTTTTTAAACTTGTAACAATTTAAGAGAGTACACAAAAGTACATAAAAGTGAATACCGGTCAGTGTCTACTCCATCCGGGCTGGAGTCTTTATTTCATGTATCTGAGAGCTGAACATTTTAAAGTTATTGTTGATGTGATTCTAAACTGATGGCTCTTTAATGACTCTCTGTTCATAAAGTTTTCAGATCAGCTCTGTATCTTCCTGCCTGCAAAAATGTCCTGATTTAAATGTATGCCTCATTCCATAATATTAATATAAATAGTAAATTATTTTAAATTGTACTTTTTCCCCCTCTCCAATATTTTCTCCTGTCTTGGAGAGGGTGTCATGCTTTGATACGGTGGCATCCAGCTCCTCACTAAAGTATCCATTCTTCTAGAGTAAAATTCTGGTAAATATTTACTTAGGGTGCCTTTGGAGATTTGTAATTATAATGTAAAAATCCTAGGCTCCAACATCACCAAAGGTGCTTCACATAACACCACTGTATTTAGTTCAGCTATTCCATGGAATAAAGAAACCAAATACTCACTTACATTCCATAGAATTACATAGATTGTACAGTACCTAAAAGGCCAGTCTTTGCTGCTGTTTATACTCCACTATTCTAATCCACTCTCACTATCACCTTCCCATATTCCTGTTCTTTCCTACTTAAAGGAGAAATGTACACTAATAAATTGTCACAAGGTTACAAAAGGTTCTTGTGATCTT